GTACGCAGGCCCGTTTTTCAAGTACGCCCGGACGTGTACGCGCGCCGTACGGGCGTCAGCGTACGTACGCCGACCCCGCGTACAGGTACGCCGTGCAACGCAGCCCTGCACGGAGCGCAAATGTGTTCACACTACAGGAGAAAAGCCATTCAGAGCCTTGACTTATCAGAAAATTTGGAATGTTAAAATTTTAACTAAAAAATATTTCAGATTAGTAGAAATATTGAAAATGAAGTTTAAACCACCACTACCTCCGAGCCTGTTTTGCCAACCCTGATTTTCACTGCGCACCTAGTTTTGCCGAGCCTGATTTTCACTGCGCACCGAGTTTTGCAGAGCCTGGGGTCCGTTTTGTCTCTTTTCCAGTACTCTTCTGAAAAAAAAAAAAAAAAAAGCATGGCCGCCTTCGGTGAGGGCTTTACGGCAGGGGTGTCGGGTCCATGAGAAAAAGAGAAGATAAAAAAATATTGAAACCGAACTCAGGACGGGAAAGTGGGTTCATACATTCTGCAAAGCTGTAGTGTGGGCATGCCCTCCTTCACAAAGTGTCAGCAGCCCGGGGACTGCACCGTGCCTCCCTGGCAGGGTACTAAAAAAAAAAAAAAAAAAAAAAAAAACACCAGCAACGACAACCTGAAACTGGCCACAATCGTAGTTCCATACTTTCTTGTGAACACAACTTCCTGCACGGCCTATCTGGACTTGGTCTTTTGTTTTTCTTTTTGCTTTTTGAAGGGGCCCACAAGGCCCAACTGCCGAGCCTCCGTCGACCCGGGAAAAGTTTGGGAAAAGTGGGAAAACAGCTTTCCCATTTTTCCCATTTTTCCCAAGAGTGACATAGGTAGTGGTGGTTTAATGAACACGTAAGTTTGTGAGGCCCTATGCTTGCAGGGGCCCCCTCTTAAGTTTGCAAGGCCCTATGCTTGCAGGGGTTCCTCTAAGTTTGTGAGGCCCTATGCATTCAGAGAATACATGCGGCGCATCGTGCACATGCGCCGCATCGCGCATTGCGCACGATGCGCGCGCACTGCATGCGGCGCACCTCTGAAAACTGGGGTCGAGAAAAAAAAAAAAAGGTTGTGAGGGGCAGTAGTAGACCCAGCCCCCTGCTCGCGTAAAATAAGAAACGGGCAGCCCATTTTTTTTTGGAGGCCGCGCGTTGCCCTGAAAGCGTTTAGTAAAACCTGTAGTCCGTGTAACACTCTGTGTGCATGGTAGGGTTCTTGCAGTCTGTATGATAGGGTTCTTGCAGGCCAGATTCGGTCACGACGAGGGTCGCGATCTCTCAAAATGTTCGCTTCTTATTACTTCTGAAGTAGAAATCGACGGAACTGACAGCCCTTTTTCCTGGAGTTTTTTGCTAATAATAAAAAGAAAAGAACATAAAGGAAGAAAATCAGAATGCCTTACCTATTGCGGAATCCGTCAGGAGAGGCACCAACTGTGAGAAAAGAGAATGAATCTTCAGCTAGAACATGGAAAGATACATCGCCCTCCGTTTTCTCTTTTGATCATGTGGTGACCGGTGGAGCGAAGACCCGCGCATCCAACCTGTCAGAACCTCAATGGGACTATTCACCAACGGCCTCCCTGCACTAGTCTCGACATGCACACAAGACAAATATGGCAATGTATCTTTCCATGTTCAAGCGGAGGATTCAATCTCATTTCTCCAGAGATTCTCCAAAAATAAAAAGAAGAAAGGTTCCAGAGATACCTTCCAGAGATACATTATCTGATGGCACTTACAGCCAGACTTGGACGAATCGGACCGCAATCACGTCCAGAGCTTAGTAAAAAAGGTCTGCGTGTACGGCATACTCAGACTCGGACTTTTTCTACTAAGCTCTGGACGTGATTGCGGTCAGATTCGTCCAAGTCTCGGATGACATACCTTCTACATCAGCACGCGCCGCCAAAACCATCCGTCGTGGACGCGTGCTGAGGTCGAACAGATCTCTCTCTCTCTCTCTCTCTCTCTCTCTCTCTCTCTCTCTCTCTCTCTCTC